GTTTTTCTTTTCAGCCAAGAGACTTATTTATTTATTTATTTATTTATTTATTTATTTATTCATTAATTTATTTATTTACAAATGCTCTACTCAAACAACAGAAATGCCTTCACAGATGAGGAGAACAACTGAAAAGCTAAAATGAGGTATCTAGGTGCCTTATCTCAGATTGGTTTCTTCTGCCTGGCTTTCATTTTGTGCTGAATAAAATGTTTTCTTTGTGATTTTCTTGACCACCAAGGTAAGAGTTATACCAACGCTAGCTTGGATGTATTTGTAGCCTGTAGATCAGCACAATTTTCTGTTTAAAAATGTCAGAAACAAGTTAGATTTATATACTTCAAAATGACTCAGTACTGCTTCTGTTAGCCTTGCGTGCTATGGAAGACCAATGGTACACATCACCACATAGCTAATGCTTCTTCAGCAGAACAACCAAGCAGAGATGTCCCTAAAAAAGACATAGTCTAGATGGCAGCATATGTTGCTCCAAAATGTATCTGTACCCCTCAGTGTTAATGGTGCCTTCACAAAACTGAAACTTATCCATGCACTGGCACTAACACACCCCCAAGCCAAGACAGATGCTGGCTTTGAATTTTGCATTGGTAACAATTTGGACAATAATTTCGTCTTCGGCCTGTAGAACATGATGTCCATTGTTTTCAAAAAGAGTTTGAAAGGTGGACTCAGCAGACCATAATACCTTTCCACTTTGTGTCAGTCCATCTCAGATGAGCTTTAGCCCAGAGAAGTAAGCAGTGTTTCTGGATGTTGTTGATTTATGGCTTCTGCTTTACAGAGCAGGGTCTTAACTTCCATTTTGAGATGCAGTGACGAAGTGTGTTTACTGACAAGGTTTTTCTGAACAATTCCTGAGACCATGTGGTTTTATTGGTTACAGAAGCATGTTATTTGTTTTGTACTAATTCTGAGAGTCATTTAACCAAAATATTGGAAAATCAGCTTTTTTTTTAATTCATCATCCCAGATTCCCAGAAATTTTCCCTCTGGACTTTCAAAAACTAGAACTGGCCCAAACAGAAACTAAATGAACTTTTCTAGTTCTAGGTTCTACTTGTAGTTCATTTCACTCCTGTTTGAGAGACAGCTGGACCAGAGTGTTCACAAAACTACAATGAAGAAGGAAAACTGTGCGGGTCTTCTGTGTCACAAATTCAAATTGGAATCAGATGCATAATCAGCACAATTTTAAAACTCCTTCATAAATACATTCAAATCTAAACTTCCATGAGTATGAACATATTTACAGCACATTAACAAAGAACATGGAGCACAGAGTGAAGCAATGAAACCACTGACAATTCATGACCATCAAAAAGAAAGAAATGATTGTATTTGTTTTGTTGTTTTGTTTTTTTTGAGCTGGGAAAAATTGTTATTCTTGTGATCTACATTCCTCTGTTCTTATAACAGATCCACTGACAAATGTAGGAGGAGTCTTTACATGCTTGAACAGTAGCACCAAATCTCTCCTCATTATCTGAACACTGGAACCACCATGATGTTTCTGTGCTCTCTGACTGTCTTTATCATCATGCTAAGTAAGTGTTGCTGACTGCATTTCTATCTATATGAAAAATATATTTTGTGTATTTAAAGTGTTTGTTGTTATTTGTGTTGTTTCTTTGTGGTGATGTATCTGAGTATGTCAGTGATAAATTAGGTTGTTTTGGGTGATTTTTGTTCTATTTCTTCACAGGGAACTCTACACAGTCAATAGAACCAGTGGAGAACAAAGCACATGTTCATGCTCGTGAAGATGAGACAGTTATTCTCTCCTGCAAGTATAAGGTTAGTGTAAAAAGTCTGCAGTGGTATCGTCAGTATCCTGGATCCAGACCAGAGTATTTACTGCTGAAATATTCAGGATCAGCTGATGTAACCCGTGCAGATCCTACTTTCTCACGACTGGATGCTACAGACAATGGCAGCATATGGAATCTCTCAATCTCCTCTGCTGCAGTATCAGACTCTGCACTCTACTACTGTGCCATGGAGCCCACAGTGACAGGAAACGCAGCTACACTGTACAAAAACTGTTTCATATGACTGAGGTAGAGTCTTGCTTTTCTCAGCAGGGGGAGCTGTTATTACACTCAAAGATCTTGTCTTTCTTCCTGATGTCACTTTGTAAAGATCTCCCTGTAGTGAACAGTGAACCCAATTTGTGTCACTTGACTGAAATTAGAAATACTCCAGTAAAAATGTCCTCTATGTATATTTCTATTTGAGTTACAGTGCAGAAGAACTTCAGTAGTTTAAAATATATCATGTACCATCTGTTGTAGGAATGTCAATGTACCTCCTACAGCAGTGTTCCAGAAAGACAGGCAGAAGAAAGGTGTTGACCTATTCACCTTTGACCGGCAGCAGTATCTGCTCTTGGATTACTGTTCCAAGTTCATTGAGGTTGAGTGGCTGAAGTCAGACACTAGAAGTACAACAGTCATCACTCATCTTAAGTCACAATTCACTAGACATGGAATTCCTGAAACAGTGATGTCAGATAATGGACCACAGTTCAGCTCTGGCAAATTCCAAGCCTTTGCAAAAGTGTGTGAGTTTTCTCATAAAACATCAAGCCCCCACCACGCGCAGTCAAATGGATTGGCTAAAAGAGGAGTACAGACTGTTAAACTCATGCTACAAAAAGCTAAAGCTGATGGAAAAGATCTGTATCTGTCTTTGCTGAATCTGAAGAGTACACCTTTAGAGGACATTGGAGCGTCACCATCCCAGCTGTTAATGGGTCGACATGTGAGGACAAGACTTTCAGCTACATCACAAATGTTGAAACCTCACATGGTCACTAACACAGTGCAGCAGTTATTGGAAACAAGACAACAGAAACAGAAAGAATACTTCGATCAAGGAACCAGAGCACTTCCGAAACTTCAGATAGGCGACAATGTCAGGGTATGGCAAGCTGGCACATGGAATCCAGCCCAGGTAACTGGACATTCGGATCAGCCAAGATCCTACGTTGTAGAGACACCTGATGGACAGGTGTATAGAAGGAACAGAAAGTTTCTGATGCAAAACAGCAAGTGGACATATTGTCTCCAAGCTTATTGAGCTTATAAGGCTTATTGAGGAGTAGCTTTGGACTTTGTCATGTATAGACAGTTGTTTTATTTCAAAGGACGATTTAAAAAAAGAAAACAAGAGTTACTTCCAATGTAAAATGTGTTTCAACAAGAGAAATGTTGTAGTATAGCAAGCAGTATTTTTTTTTGTGTGTGTGTCACTCTTTTTCAGGTCATGGACTTTACGGGGTGACATAAGTTCATATGTTATGTTTACTGATAGTTAAAAAAAAAGGGGGGGGCGATGTCATGATATGTGTGAATAATTCATCCTGATTCAGATGTAATTCATCTGGAAGCCACAGGGCAGCGCTGTTAAATAAAGAGCATAGATAATGGCTGAACCTAAAGTGGCGTGGTGGGATCTGCTCTAAAAAACACACATCAAAACAAGAGCGACCCATTCTTTCATAATTGTTTGTAGGAGCAGTCTGCATGCCTAGGTGCTTGGTTTTATACACCTGTGGCCATGGAAGTGATTGGAACACCTGGATTCAATGATTTGGATGGGTGAGTGAATACTTTTGGCAATATAGTGTATTTATTTATTGATTCATTCATTCGTTCACACAGAGATGTAATGAAGGAGGTCTACCAGAAGAGGGCAGGTTTATTCTAGATTTGCCGATTTGAGAGGAAGAAGCTGGAGTGAGGAACCAGGTAAAAGAGCCATAAGACAATCTGAGACAGCAGTTTATGTCATTCTCACATGCTTTATGGCTTTTCATTCTCCTTTTAAATTGAGTAGTTTAGCAGAGCAAAGCTGCAATGTAGAGAATCTATGTATGAACAAAACAGCTGAACTTCCATTACTTGCACAGCCAGATGTACAGCATGCATTTTTTGGCCTATATAGAAAATGATATATATTATATTTTGTAGCCTGTATTTTTTAGAAAAAGCTGTTCAGAGAATGGTGAAAAAAGAAGTCTCGACATGCTGCACATCTACATAGAGATGATATCTAATATGTATTGTGCACAATCCTCCCCTCTGCAAGAGGCACATTTTCTGTTTTTCCATACACATGAACCATAAAGTGCATGTAATTTCATGCACCAGTTAAATATACATCACATATGCAGAGTTAGCGGCTAGAACTACTCAACAAGCTCAGACTGTTCACGAAACTAAAATGAAGGGAGAAAACTGTGTGGATCTTCTCTGTCACAAACTCAAACAAATTGGAATCACAGACACACTTAGCATCATCTTTAAACTTATTCTTAATATTCATATATACATCAAAACCTAAACTTACATCCACCAATCAGGCATAACATTATGACCACCTCCTTGTTTCTATGCTCATTGTCCATTTTATCAGCTCCACTTACTATATAGGAGCAATTTGTAGTTCTACAGTTACAGACTGTAGTCCATCTGTTTCTCTGCATACTTTGTTAGCCCCCTTTTACCCTGTTCTTCAGCGGTCAGGACCCACCATGGACCCTCACAGAGCAGGTACTATTTGGGTGGTGGATCATTCTTACACTGCAGTAAGAGAAACAGATGGACTGTAGTTGTAGAACTACAAAGTGCACCTATATAGTAAGTGGAGCTGATAAAATGGACAATAAGCAAGGAGGTGGTCATAATGTTATGCCTGATCGGTGTATATACATATATATACCACATTTACAATATAAATGGAGCACAGAGTGAGGCAATGAAACCACTGACAATTCATGACCATCAAAAAGAAAGAAATGATTGTATTTGTATTGTTTTTTTGTTTTTTTGAGCTGGGAAAAAATTGTTATTCTTGTGATCTACATTCCTCTGTTCTTATAACAGATCCACTGACAAATGTAGGAGGAGTCTTTACATGCTTGAACAGTAGCACCAAATCTCTCCTCATTATCTGAACACTGGAACCACCATGATGTTTCTGTGCTCTCTGACTGTCTTTATCATCATGCTAAGTAAGTGTTGCTGACTGCATTTCTATCTATATGAAAAATATATTTTGTGTATTTAAATTGTTTGTTGTTATTTGTGTTGTTTCGTTGTTTTGGTGATTTTTGTTCTATTTCTTCACAGGGAACTCTACACAGTCAATAGAACCAGTGGAGAACAAAACACAGGTTCATGCTCTTGAAGATGAGACAGTTACTCTCTCCTGCAAGTATAAGGATAGTGTACGTAGTCTGCAGTGGTATCGTCAGTATCCTGGATCCAGACCAGAGTATTTACTGCTGAAATATCCAGGATCAGCTGATGTAACCCATGCAGATCCCACTTTCTCACAACTGGGTGCTACAGACAATGGCAGCATATGGAAACTCTCAATCTCCTCTGCTGCAGTATCAGACTCTGCACTCTACTACTGTGCTCTGACGCCCACAGTGACAGGAAACCCAGCTACACTGTACAAAAACTGTTTCATATGACTGAGGTAGAGTCTTGCTTTTCTCAGCAGGGGGAGCTGTTATTACACTCAAAGATCTTGTCTTTCTTCCTGATGTCACTTTGTAAAGATCTCCCTGTAGAGAACTGTGTACCCAATTTGTGTACTTGAATGAAAGTAGAAATACTCCAGTAAAATGTCCTCTATTTATATTTCTATTTGAGTTACAGTGCAGAAGAACTTCAGTAGTTTAAAATATATCATGTACCATCTGTTGTAGGAATGTCAATGTACCTCCTACAGCAGCACCACAGCAGTCCCTAGTATTAGATCTTCCAGTTTAAAGACTACAAAATCTCACTTTTGGTGATGTATCTTAAAGATGTGAGAAACTTTTGCTTTTGTGGGTGTTCAATTACTGCTAGGAAGCCATTTAACTTTGGTACCTGTCTTCAAATCAACATTACAATGGAGAGAATGGACTTCTCAAACAACGGATATGCCTTCAGAAGAGGAGGACAACGAGGTAAAAGCTAAAGTGAGGTATCTAGATGCCTTACCTCGGTCTGGTTTCTTCTCTCTGGCTCTGATTCCATTTGGTGCCGAATAAAAACAGATTTGCTGTTTTCTTTGCAATTTTGTTCGACCACTGAGGTAAGAATTACACTAATGCTAGCTAGGATGCATTTACTAACCTGTAGATCATCAGTTCATTAGAAAAATCACCGAAACAAGACACATTTGTATATTTCAGTGTAACTCAGTACTTTGCAGTACACAAACACACAGCTGGTGCCGTTTCAGCAGAGCAGCCCAAACCTACACAATGGAAAAAGAGTAGACACAGCACTGGTGAGGGACGATTGTTGCTATAAGCTGGAGTGTCCATTCTTATCTGCAAAGGGCTGGTGTGTATGTAGGTTTTCATTCCAATCAAGTTGAAGCACATCTGATTTTGCTTGTTTATTCAGTTGGTCTCTGTCAACCAAATGATCATGTGAGCTCCTGCTTTGTTGGAATGAAAGCCACACTTGCTTGTTGCAGGTAAGACTGGACACCCCTGCTGTAAACAAAGTCACTCAGGGCATTTTCACACTTGTCCCGAATATCTAAGTCCACACCCATGTCCGATTCTGGGCTCTTTCCGGAGAGGGGCTCATTATCGCTGGTTTGCTTCCACACACAAGAATTCTGTCTGAACTGTGGATTGATTGCGCAATTCCATATGTCACTTTTCTGTGTGAAGATTTAAATTAACCAATCACGTAGCCCCACACACGGCATCAGGAGCAGATAACGAATAGCAGACCACTGATTTCAGAAAGACCAGAGGTCGGCTCTCTGGACTGCTCCCGAGCTCGAAAACAGCTTTCACACTTCACCAAACACACCGAACTCACAAACCAAGCGATCCTGAGCCTGGAAAAAAGCTCTACTGTGAAAATGCCTTTAGGACCCCTGAGCCATGTGGGTCACCATGTCGTGTGTTGGTTTTTGTTTGCTTTTGCATATGATTTGATTTAAACATGATGTTGGCAGAAACATAATATCACTGTTGACTTTTATTCTAAAAAAAAAAGCAGAAATTTTGAAGACACTTAACACAACTCATGCATCTCAATGGCTTTCTCAATACATCATGGGCCCAGGAGGAACTTTTTGAACATCAGAACGCTGTGTGAAAGGAGAAAATACATGAGAAAATGAACTATTGATATGTAATTGATAAGTATTCAACGTAATGTCTTACATTTAAGGATTGTGCTTAAGCAAATGAGCAAAAACTGTTACACAGAGTGATGTAATATGAATCTTCTGGATGGATGTGAGATATACATTTGCAAGAGGAAGCACAAATAAGGGACCATGTAGACCAGAGGTGCTAAACTCTGGTCCTGGAGGGCTGGTATTTGCACAGTTTGGTGGTTCCTCTGCTCAACAACACCCACTAAACCTGGAAATTAACAGATGAGTGCAAGGCGTGCTTGGGCAGGTAAATTACCAAACTGTGCTGGACACTGTCCCCCCAGGACTGGAGTTGTGCTCCCCTGATGTAAACCAAAAGCATGCCTTGAGAAAATCTGAGCCTGTACTTTAATTATGGTGTTTTCAGGCAGTCTATGGCTCCTGTTTTACCTTTTACCTAATATGTCCAGCACTTAATGAAGTGGAAAACTGCAAAGATCTCCTCAACTACAACGTCAGGCCAATTTAAATCATATACATTGACACCTCCTACACACCACACTAACAAAGTAAAGAGATCACTGAGTGAGGCAAAGCAACCAAAGAATGAAAAAATATCTTAAGTTAGAAATTAGAGAATTATTTTGTTCTCCTGATCTACATCGCTCTGTTCTTATAACAGATCCACTGACAAATGTAGGAGGAGATTATGTTAGCCATGCATTTCCACGTTTTCCAAGACTGGATGCTAAAGTGAATGAAAATATAGTGAATCTGATCTCCTCTGCTGCAGTATCAGATTCTGCACTCTACTACTGTGCCATGGCGCCCACAGTGACAGGAAACCCACTCTACAAAAACTCATTGCATGATAATACTCATACTTTCGTATTGGGTTTCCTGTCAGGTGTTGTTCTCTGTGCTGTAACACCAGTAATGTATGTTGTATTTATATACAGGCCCACAGAAAGACATTGCTAGGTCCTGGAATAATTTCATAGGCAGTGACCCCCCACCTCTTCCCAAAGACACAAGGTTGTGGTCTAAGGCACCAATACCCCCCACATCCCCCTTAACTTTAAAACTTCACTTTTAAATCCTGCTCCCAATGTGACAGTACTGTAAACCCCAACCTCTCTACCCTACATACACTATGTGTCCAAAAGTTTGTGGACACCCCTTCTTATTAGTAAATCCAGCTGCATTAAAGCTGCATCGCTGATACAGGTGTTCAAATACCCACACAGCTCGTTTAATCTCCATAGTAAAGTGCTGACAATAGAACAGGTCTCTCTGGAACAGTCGCACATTAGTCTAAGGGCACCATGTCCAGTGCCAAGCATTGGCTAGATGGGTATGAAGCCCCCCAGTGTTCAGCTTGGAGCTGTGGAACTGCATTCTCTAGAGCAGGGGTCTTTAATTAAAATTTAATAAAGTCCAGTTAGAGAACATTTTCTTAAACAAAGGTCCGGAACATCATAATGTCTAACTTGCCTCTTGATTCAGTGCCATATACTGTATACTGAAGTAGCTTAGTAGGTATATCAACAGTCATACAGTCAACAACTGAATGTCTAATCAAATAAAGTACAATTCAGTAATATTTCAACAATATTTATTGTACGTTTTCTCTTTTTAGAGCACACCATGTGAATCCCTCTGACTCACTTTCTTCTCCGACTGCTGTTTCTCGCCTCGTCCCTCCCCTGCATGTGCGTCATTCACTCAAGTCTCAGTGCTCATCGTAATTCACATCTGATTGGCTGAGTAGCGTCACATGTGATATTTACAACTCATGCGATTGGTCCGTGAGTTCTCCGGGCTGCTAAAGCGGTACCGTAAAGGCTGGAAAAGTTATGCCGATTAAAATAGGACCACTCCGTCAAAATTCAATAATTCTGCACAGTTTATTGGTTATAGGTCCAGGTCCGCATAGAACAGCGCCTGGTTCCAGACTCGGACCGCAGTTCGCCTATTAGTGACATCTACTCCAGAGTGATGAAGCACCAACAATACTTATGGAATGAGTTGGAGTGGCATTTGTGATCCAGAACTAATTATCCAGCATCAATACCTGATCTCACTAGTGCTCTTGTTGCTGAATGCAATCAAATCCTCACAGCAATGTTCTAACATTGTGTGTAAGGCCTTCCCCGAAGAGTAGAGACAGTTATTGCTGCAGAGGGGGGACAATCTCCTTTTCAGTACTTTTGATTTTCAAAGCAACATTGGATGAGCAGGAGTCCACAAAGTTTTGGCCATATAGCGTAACTAACTAATTGACAAATGTAGGAGGAGTCTTTACATGCTTGAACAGTAGCACCAAATCTCTCCTCATTATCTGAACACTGGAACCACCATGATGTTTCTGTGCTCTCTGACTGTCTTTATCATCATGTTAGGTATGTGTTGTTAACTAGGTTTATATCTATGTGACATATATATTTTTACAGTTTGATGATTGCTTTTTGTTTCTTTTTTTGTTTTATTCAATATTGATACAACTATATTCTATGTTTTTTGTTTGTTTCTTCACAGAGAACTGTGTTTCACAGTCAATAGCACCACTGGGGAACAAACTACAGGTTCATGCTCTTGAAGATGAGACAGTTACTCTCTCCTGCAGGTATCAGGGTAGTGTGGACTATCTGTACTGGTATCGTCAGTATCCTGGATCCAGACCAGAGTTCTTACTGCTGATAAGTCCAGCATCTAAATATGTGACACATGCGGACCCTCCTGTCCCACGACTGAATGTTGAAGTTAATGGAAATAAATTGGATCTGATAATCTCCTCTGCTGCAGTATCAGACTCTGCACTCTACTACTGTGCTCTGAGACCCACAGTGACAGGAAACCCAGCTACACTGTACAAAAACTCACTGACTGATGATGCTTTGAACTTTGTATTGGGTTTCCTGTCAGGTGTTGCTCTCTTTATCAAGAATGCACAGACACATGTGGTTAATGAACGACTTGTAATTGTAGGGATTTATGCTGTTTCCTGTAATATTAATGTGTATGAAGAATAATGAAAGTAATAGTATTCCAATCAGCATTAATGGCCCATAATATTAATATCAAGCTTTCCAACATCAGTCTGAAATTCTATAAATTAATGATACATCGGAGATTTTCTGTCCAAAGCAGCTCATAACAAGTGAAGGCGCAATGATTTGGAGTAAATGTGTACTTGAGTCACTTTATTTATTCTTTCTGTTAATTCTCTCTTGAAAAATGTTGGGAAGCTGTGCAGAATGTAAATAAAAATAGAATGCAATGATTTGCAAATCAGATAAAATGTTACAAAGACAACATATCAAATGTTGAAATTAAGAAAGTTTATTGTTTTTAAAAAAAATTATACCCATTTTGAATTTGATGCCAACAACACATTCCCAAAAAGTTGGGATGGAGG